ACATATACATGTATCAAGATTTATGATTGATATTTATATTTAAATTACTAAAGTTTTGTAAAAAAACAAAATAGCAGCACGTGGAAGTGTAAACTCAAAGGTCAAATTTTGCAGTATTGGCCGGAAAAGTTCCAGAAGGAACCCACAATTACCCATCAGAAGAAGAGGAGCAATTTGAAAGAGAAAGAACCTAAATTAAAAGGTAAATATAATAAAAAAAGAAGCTTTAGACTATAGACTAAGAAGGCAAAGAAAGCTGAATATCTTGGAGTAATTGATAGAGGGCAAATACATTTTGAAGAAAATCAAAATATCAGAAAACAAGAAGAAAGTTTAAGGGTCATAAAAGAATCAGAAAAAACTCAGGCCACTCAAACAAAAGAGAAACTATTCATAATATCATTATATTTGTCATGAATTAGTTTCATATAGTTATTTCTATCATTGAACATATTCTAACACTTTGTAATATACAGGAAAGCGAAATTAAAAAACTGGAGTATGAAGAATGTGATTAATTCAGAAGAACATGCATCGAGGAAACTATTGAAACCCGTATTTATTCCAAAGTATGTGCATAATTTAGGTAACAGTGTAAATTGTAAATTACTTAAAGAGCTAATTGTTAAAGCTTTTTAGAGAATATAGGAAAACAATACTAGAAAAGGAAAGAACTAAAAAATTAGAAGAAACAAAGAGATTGCTAGAACTGGAAGAGAGAAAAAAAGAGTCGTGTTTGATGGTCGCCGAAATAGTTCAGAAAGAATTACAAAAAACTGGTAAATTTCTTTTAATACACAGTTTTTGTATACCTGTTTTGTTGCACATTAAATTATGAAACTTGTATTCAATGGAATAACTGGTGTTAATGAAATTGATGATGTAGGCAGCTTGGATGAAAAGGCAGGATACGAAGCACAGAAATTGCGTGAATTGAAACGAACCAAAAGAGATAAAGAACATGAAATGTATTTATTTATTGAAAGAATCTTTTGTCATTAAAAATGATTCCACATTCTAATTATCATACATATATTTTTTTAGGAAAAAAAGAAAAGTAAAACATTGAATTAAGGCGTAACATAAACTAAGAGCAATATTATTAGTAAAATCTTAAAAATTTTTACAATAAACTGTAGTTTGTAAGCTACCTCTGTGCGAAACTCTGGAGAGTTATTATTTTAAATTTAAATAATTACCGTAAATTCTCGAAATAGCGGGCATCTGCGTGCTATTTTGACTACATGCACGTTATTTCGAATACGCCCATGGGCATTATTTCGAGATAAAGTATTAATTCTGGAATCTGATTGTTACTAATGTTATAAACAGGTCGAATGAATAAGTATCAGGTAAATATTGGGTACAGGACTTGTGCATATCGTGAGTTTTGTATTCCGATATTTACCCGATACTTGCTCTTCGAGGTGCGTGCTATTTCGAATGCGCATGGGCATTATTTCAAAACCATCTATGCCATTTTTAGGGAGCGTGATTTTTGAAATAACGCCCCTGCCCACTATTTTGAGAATTTACAGTAAATTTTAATCTAACACATATGGCATCTCGCTAGAGAAAAAAAATATATTAATTATGTTGTGCCTCAGATCGATTCTTGCGTCGGATCTAATCTGACGCATGTCAGATGCCGATTTCCAGGTGACGCACGTCACCTGCCAATTGGTCATCTGACGTGCATGAGTTGTAATCTGATGCAAGATCATCAAAATCAAAAAAAAAAGTTTCTTTCAACGAAAATGTAATAACGTAATTATGTAATAACGTCATTAT